CCTCGCGCCTTCTTATTCCTTTTGGTTTCTGTAAAATACTGTTTTTTTTTTAATTTCATTACGCCGAAGAGGTGCTCGTTCTTTGAAAGCTGACAAAGAGTAAGAAACTTAGATTAGTCCACTCCCGCACCCCTGTCCCCAAATAACCACAGACTTCCCCGTCCCCTTTATTAGTTTTGATTACTGGGAGAAAGAGGCTCTTTAGGAAACGCTTAAATTACTGATTCCCTGATGCTATAGAAATTAAAGTGATTAGACTGGGTCGTACTTTTTCCTCTTCCAGTTACGTCGAGGTTTGCCTTGTGTTTGCAAACATTGTGGGTGTCACTCGCCAGTGCTGGAAGTTGTGCGAACTCTTGGGTAGAATTCCTTAGCCCAGCTATTGGATGCTCTTGGATGAGGTGAAAGCTGATTGTCGCTATTGTAGCCGCTACCCAAAGCCTCATCAATCGTAGATCTCAGGGTAGAAGAGAAAAAAGTATAAGTATTTGGCTATGTTCGTGAGAATTGCTTCAAATAACCCTCCCCCCCCGCCCCCCGAGACTCCAAAAAGGCAAAGTACTCAAAATAATTTCTTCATATTTCCCGGAAATTACCGAAGTGTGTGTTTGTTTTTTAAAACTTTAACAGAATGCATTTTTTTCTTACGCCACTCCGGCACTTTTCTTCTGTTCAGTTTAAGTTTCTGACTCTAATTTTCCAGCTGAATCTTTTGAATTTTTAATTCTTGCTTGTGAGGTAAGGAGCTAATTTTTTGGTGCTCATACTGCATGCTGGGCCCTTTGTGTAAGTTTCCTTCTTGGAAGCTCGTAGTAACCTTGTGACTTAAGCATTACCTCATATTGTAATTGGGAAAGCTTGTCATAGAGGTTCCTAGTAATGTTTGTCCAAAATCACACAAAAAGGGGTGGAGAGCATGTTTTTCCATTGTAACTACGTCATCAACTTTCCAGATTTATCCTTGTATTTGCAGTGTTTTCTTATAGAACAGAACAGATCGGATGGGTATTCCAGTAATCTTGAACTTGATTTTTAAACTTTTTTTTTTTAACAGTTTAATTTTCAGTTGCACCTTCTCTTTTGATTTTGGCTAATTTTATGATAGCTTACAGTTTGCTGCAAATAAGATTTATTGAACATTATTTGAAATCGTTAAATATGTTTGCCACACCTTTAAGCAAATAACTTTTGATATAGTATTTTGTTTCTGTTTTAGTTTCATCAAATACGTGTGTGGTGGTGGTGGTTTTTTAAGTGGAGCTGCTGGAGATTGAACCCAGGACCTCCTGCGTGCTAAGCCTGCGCTCTACCACTGAGCTATTCTCACCACTCTAAATCAAATGTTAAGCCTTGTTTATTGGGATATTAAGTTTTTGTCTAGAGTTAACTTTGATGCTTACTAATATGAGTGCTCTCTGAAAGTGTTTACTTAATGAACTAGTAAAACGGTCTCCAAGTCCAGTTTTCTTCATGTTTTGAAGTTATTTGCTTTCTAACCAGGAATGCCTAAACTGTTTAAATTCTGTATTCAGAAGTACTGTTTACTTAAAGCCATTGTTCTTCTGTTATCTTCTGCTTTGAATTATAATTGTTCTGAAAGGAGCCACAGTTTCAGGCTTGGAGTGTTTTTGAACTGATTCAACATTTGTGTGCATCTTTGAAATGAGACATTTTTATTTTTTAATTTTTATAGTTAAATTTTTAGCTTTTCCAGCTCTTAATTACTGTACTAGTACTACATAATTTCAAGAGTAGGAAGACCAGATTGATAATTTAAAAAATCTTTTTAAAGGAGTCTACCTTTGCATGTTTGGGAATAGCATTGGGTTCTGTTTTTTTTTTTTAATTGTGTTTGCTTGAAGAAGGACTTGGGGAATTTTGAAAATGAAGTAAAATCAACAAGACAAATTGTAATGTTAAATTATGCCGATAAATTGTGTATCCATTTGTTAGATTGTTTACTATTTTTACACATTTATTCATAAGTATTTCATTAATATTTATTTCATAGCTAAGCTTATTGACATTTCCTCATATTATATGTGGTAATATGCAGAATATTTGATTTTGTCAGAGCTTACACATAACACATTCACACAAATTATAAATTCATTTGAGTGGGAAGATGTCAGTCTAAATTTTAAAATACCCAAATAATATCCTAAAATTTAAATTGTGTTTTCCTAAGTCCATTGAAATTTTTCATTTTGGGGTGTTAGATGTAAATGACCAATTTCTGAAAAGTGTATTACTTACTGATCATTTTATTCTTTCATTACAGATCTCATGCCTTCATTTATCCGGCACGGTCCAACAATTCCAAGACGAACTGATATCTGTCTTCCAGATTCAAGCTCTAATGCCTTTTCAGCTTCTGGAGATGGAGTAGTTTCAAGAAACCAGAGTTTCCTTAGAACTCCAATTCAAAGAACACCTCATGAAATAATGAGAAGAGAAAGCAACAGATTATCTGCACCTTCTTATCTTGCCAGGAGTCTAGCAGATGTCCCTAGGGAATATGGCTCTTCTCAGTCATTTTTAACAGAAGTTAGTTTTGCTGTTGAAAATGGAGATTCTGGTTCCCGATATTATTATTCAGATAATTATTTTGATGGTCAGAGGAGGCGCCCACTTGGAGATCGCACACATGAAGACTATAGATATTATGAATATAACCATGATGTCTTCCAAAGAATGCCACAGAATCAGGGGAGGCATGTTTCAGGTAAGGTAAAATTATAAATATTACATTGTTTTGTGTTTGGACATACTAACACTTCATTGAAAAGGTATTCTTTTCTGAATTTTCTTGGGAAGCCAGTAGATACTCCTAGAGAACTACTTCTCCATTTTGCCATACTTGCTAAACCACCTTGCAAATTAACCTACACTGAGGGAAAGAATTTTGTGTCCATTAACTCATTTAATCAACTTATTTTATAAAAACTTGGTACTTATCTGAAGGCTATGTAGACTGTGTAACACTGTGAACCTTGAAAACCTGGAGAATTTAATGTCTACAGTCGGACTGAATCTTGGTTTAGATTTGGTAGAATGGGAAGGTTAGGGTTTCAGAGAAACTAGACTGAAACCCACAAAAGGAAAGGCAAATAGGAAGAAGGGGCATAGTGGGCAATACCATGGCAGCTGCATCGATACTTAGCTAGAACCTTCTGTGTTTCTCTTCACAGAACTGTTTTGTAGTTAAATAATTATTTCCCTAGTTGGTGAAAAAGACATTTTTGTCAAATGGTTAATTGTTGTGTTAAGCATGTCCTTTTGTTTTTCTTTTTGGAATGGGCAAAAATATTTTCCATGTAATTTATAAAATCTAATTTCTGCGTTTGCTTACTTGGGGATAATTGGACAAGAAACAGAAGAGCTAGGAGAAATGCACAATTTTCCCTTATTCCTAAAGTACTATGTTACCCTGGATAAACTAAAGCAAATAAGGTGACTTAAAAACAGTTTGTTGGGAGAGGATATACGTTCAAGTGGTAGAACGCATGCTTAGCATGCATGAGGTCCTGGGTTCAATCCCCAGTACCTCCTCAAGAATAAATCAGTAAATAAACAGAATTACCTCCTTCCACCAAAAAACCAAAAACCAAAAAAAAAAAAAACAGTTTGGAGTATGAGTGTTCTGAGTAGAAAACGTTTCATTTATTTAGTATTAACCATTTATGTGGGTCTAATGTTTTCCCTGACCCTCTTCGTATCTGCCTTCTGATACCTTATGTAAGAGAACAAACCAATATATACAAAACGATCACAGAACAGTTAGTTGTTACACTTTGTGGTACTGACTGTAAGTGCAATAGGAACTCAGAAGAGAGAGATCAGGGTAGGCTAGAATACTTAAAGAATGGTTCTTGGAAAAGGTAGCAACTGAACTGTGTGCTTTGAGCTTGGAGTTTAGATAACAGGGGACATAGGAAGGACATTAGGTGGAAAATCAGGAATAACTCTGTGAAAACAGTAGACGTGACATAAATCCAAGGAACTGTGTAGTTCTACCTAGTTAGAAGATGTAAGTTGTAAGGTGGAATGGAGATTAGTGGTGCTACAGCAGGCTATAGGATTTAGACTTGAGTCAAGCAGAAGCCATTGCAGATTGAGGGATGAGGGAAAGAGAAGAATCAGATAGGATTAGCAAAGCCCCTGACTGTGTAGGAGGTGCTCCTAAAAAAATGGTTGAGTAAGTGAATGGATCCACAGATTTCAAGTCTGGAGTCTTAAGACACTTTTGGTAGCTGAGGGATAGCTTATAACAATCTGCTGTTAATACAGATTGTTGTTCTTCACACTTCCTTTCGCATGTATATTTATGTTGCAAACATCACTGATAGCTCATGACATTTTCATGCTTGAAGTATGAAGAATTGATGATACCAAGTTAAAATCTTGTTTTAAAATTCTGATTTGCAAAATATCATGGAGGAAATGCTGTAAAAACTGAATTTCTACTGATCCTCTCTTGGGACCCTACTTATGCAATCTAACGTAGTTTTTGTAATTTTAATGACACATTTTTAAACAACTTTCCAATCACAATTTATTTTTTAATTTTTTTCAATCACAATTTAGAAATAAACAAAATACAAGTTAATTGGATACTTATTCAGATTAAAGAATGTCATTCAAAAAAAGATTTGCATTTATTATGGCAGTGATAGATGCTTGATAAATTTCACTTAACATTAATTTATATCAGAGCAATAAGAATGCTTTACCTTTCAGGAAAAAACAGTACTTCTTTGCAGGAGTCTCTTAAGTGGCAGGAAAGGATTAACAACCAATTATTAACCAAACAGAAAAGCCTAACAGCTGTTTTCTCCAGAAAGGAAAAAAATCTGAGTATGAAACAATAGCTGGAAATTTCTTGAATTCATCTTGAAAAGGTTTGAAACTTAATATATATTCAAGATTTATGCTGGAGAGAGTTTAAGGAATTGAATGAATGGAAAGGAGAAAGTAAGTTTGTGGGAGAGTAAGGATGTTCTATGGACAGATCTGTTTTCACAAGGTTTAAATTTTGATTGCTCTTACTAATGTAATAAGAATAAAAAAGTATGGAAGAAAATAGTTTTCGAATGATTTGAGAGTAGTATTCCTGCTAATTAGTTATTAGTTAGACTTTTAGGAAATACCCTATCTCTAGGGTTAATTTCATCTCATTGTATTTGGCAGAAGTACAAAAAAAGTTGTATAATATCTTAAAAGTTTTTAGGGCCTAGCAAGTTCTACATTTAGCTGTGAAATTTGACCTTTAACATTTTGGCCTACATACCAGTCAGGCACTTACTGTATGTGCCAAAGGAAGGAATTCTGCTGCTAACAGGAAATCTTTAGTTGGAATACTAAAGGCAGATTGAATTCCTTTGTTTGTCCTAATAATTTAGTCCTGTTCAATTTTAAGTAACAAACTTGTAACTCATTTTTAAAGACAGCTAAAGAAGTCAGGTTATAAAAATCAAATTAAAATGTTCCAGGCTTTACAAAAAAATATTGGAGTTGTGTTTATTCCAGGAAATGTATAAATAAGTATTTTGTGAACCAGAATCTTCTTTTGAGGAAGTGTTAATAATCTTTAGGGGTACAACTTTATTTGTAATTAAATTTTGGAGAGGAGGGAAAAAGGCATTTGACTTGGTTTAATACTTTTATCTCTTTATCAACATCTCGATTATAACATGTACTGTAATGTTTAGTGTCTGTTACCCTGGATCTTATAGCCTTCATTGGAGTTCCAGATTCCATTTATTCTCCAGCGACTACAACGGTAGGAAACTAGAATTTTTGAGCTTGTCTGTA